AGACAGCTTCAAGAGGGGACTGGATCAACACATGGAGCAGAGGTCCATCAGTGGCTATTAGCCACAAGGTACAGAGGTATATAAAGGCTGTGGAAGGTCGGTAGTTCAGCAGTTCGAGACCCGAATGTGCCGCATGACGGAGTGAGCTCCCGTCTCTAGTTCCAGCTCCTGCCAACCTAGCAGTTTGAAAGCAAGAAATTGCAAGTAGATAAATAGGTACCGCTTCGGTGGGAAGGGAACAGCGTTCCGTGCGCCTTGGTGTTTAGTCATGCCGGCCACATGACCACGGAAACGTCTTTGGACAGCGCTGGCTCTTCGGCTTTGAAACGGAGATTAGCACAGCAACCCTAGAGTCGGACTCGACTGGCTTTCGAGCAAGGGAACCTTTACCTTTACCTATAGAGGGAACACTCTGAGGAATTTCACATTACCCTTTTTAACCCATTTTGAAGCCGTTTTTGATTTGTTGTGGAGTAAACCGGTATAGGGCTGCCATTTCACACATGGCTTTCCGCTTCCGGTAAAGAGCTGGATCCGAAGCGGTTTGCCATTTCAGACTGCACCGCTTTTTCCCGCTTCCCCCCCGCCGTTTTTTGCCCGCGCGGGCGATCTCTGGGTTTTTTAAAAAAACATTCGCTTTAGAGCGCTCCGTTCCGTGCACCTCGGTGTTTAGTCATGCCGGCCACATGACCACGGAAACGTCTTCGGAGAGCACTGGCTCTTCGGCTCTGAAACTGAGATGAGCACTGCAACCCTAGAGTCGGACTCGACTGGCTTTCGAGCAAGGGAAACCTTTACCTTAGAGCGCTATAGCGCTATAGTGCTATAACACAACACTCCAGGCATTCCAATGGGGTTGATATAACGCTGTTGCATTATAGCGTTATACCTTTATAGCACTATAGCACTATAAAGTGAATGTTCCAAAAAAAAAAGCTGGAGATCGCCTGCACGGGCGAAAAATGGCGGGGAAAAGCGCATCGGAACCGTGAGAGGAAACCAAAGACTACTGGAAGCGGTTGACAGGGAAAACGCTTCAGCCCGGTTTCCTAAACGGGACAGAAGCGTTTGTGTGTGAAATTACAAACATATTCCGATAGGGAACCGGTTCTAAAACGGTTCTGTCAGAAATGACAGACCAGAAACCGTTTGGGAACCGTTCCTCTTCTGGATTATATCGTCTGTCTGAAATTCCTCTATGTCTGGGGCAAGGGATGCTCTGTCTTGGGACTTGGGGGGGCAACAGTGGGAGGACTTCTGGAGTTCTGGCCCCACTGGTGGACCTCCTGATGGTCCCTGGGTTTTGGCCACTGTGTGCCACAGAGTGTTGAGCTGGATGGGCCACTGGCCTGATCCAACATGGCTTCCCTTATGTTCTTATGTATGGAGCAAGTGATGCTCTGTATTCTTGGTGCTTGAGGGGCAATAGTGGGAGGGTTTCTGGAGTTCTGGCTCCACTGGTGGACCTTCTGATGGCCCTGAGTTTTGGCCACTGTGTGACACAGAGTATTGGACTCAATGGGCCATTGGCCTGATCCAACATGGCTTCTCTTATGTTCTTATGTCTGGGGCAGTGATGCTCTGTATTCTTGGTGCTTAGGGGGCAACAGTGGGAGGGCTTCTGGAGTTCTGGCCCCTCTGGTGGACCTCCTGATGGCACCTGGGTTTTGGCCACTGTGTGACACAGAGGGTTGGATTGGGTGGGCCACTGGCCTGATCCAACATGGCTTCCCTTATGTTCTTATGTCTGGGGTAGTGATGCTCTGTCTTCTTGGTGCTTGAGGGGCAATAGTGGGAGGGATTCTGGAGTTCTGGCTCCACTGGTGGACCTCCTGATGGCACTTGGGTTTTGGCCACTGTGTGGCACAGAGTATTGAACTGGGTTAGTATTGAACAGAGTATTGAACTGGGTGGGCCATTGGCCTGATCTGACATGGCTTCTCTTATGTTCTTATGTCTGGGGCAGTGAAGCTCTGTATTCTTGGTGCTTGGGGGGCAACAGTGGGAGGGCTTTTGGAATTCTGACCCCACTGGTGGACCTCCTAAAGGCCCCTGGATTCTGACCACTGTGTAACCCAGAGTGTTGGACTACATGGGCCCCTGGCCTGATCCAACATGGCTTCTCTTATATCCAGAGCTAAAACACGCTTGTTGGGAGCCCAAACTGGCACTGTTTTCCCATCTGCAAGCGTTATTATTGCTACTATTATTTCTCTGAACTTATCCCCTCCTTTCGTGCCAAATGGCACCAAGAGCATGAAGCGGTGCAAAGTGGATTCTGATGTAAATCCCATAGCGTCGGCTCACGCGTGCACGTTCATCTTATTTAATTATCGTGGAAATGTATGTCACCTGTCCAGATACTTCCTCAAAGCAGTCCATAAGGAAAAGAATACAAAAGGGCCTCAGCATAGAAAAAGACAGCGTCACAGTAGCACGAAAGTGATTTAAAAATGCAAATGCAGATTCTGCAGAGGAAAGCAGCACCTGGCCAATGGGTTAGGTAGGCTGTCTCTCGTGCCTTCCTTTCACGTGCCCTTTGGGAGGGAGGGTCAGGGCCAGACTGACAGCCTGTTCCTCTCCTCTCCCTTCTTTGGGGTCAGGGCTCGGGCAGCCCGAGGGAGGGGCCCCTTTCCAGAGTTTTTCACTTCCAGTCTGCCCCTGCTTCCAGGGTTGTTGTGAGGTTGAAATGGAGGAGCAGAAATAGGCTCCTCAGTCCTCACTACTAACAGGGCACATCCTAGTGGAGGCAATATTCGTGGTGTTTCTCGCTAGGGTTGCCATTTCCCAGTTGGGGGCGGGGGGATCCCCTGGTTTTTCAGGCTGTTCCCTCCCACTGGCCACCTGGCCAGTGGGAAAAAATTCCCCCCCAAAACAGCGGTGTGCCAGAAATAAATGCATTCTGCATGCCAAGCAGGGGCTCTGCTACTGAGCCAGGGTCTCAGGTCAAGGTCTTTCTCATCCCCTCCTGCCTGGTCCTTTTAACTGGAGATGCCAGGGATTGAACCTGGGACCTTCTGCATGCCAAGCAGAGGCTCTGCCACTGAGCCAGGGTCTCAGGTCAAGGTCTTTCTCATCACCTCCTGCCTGGTCCTTTTAACTGGAGATGCCGGGGATTGAACCTGGGACCTTCTGCATGCCAAGCAGAGGCTCTGCCACTAAGCCAGGGTCTCAGGTCAAGGTCTTTCTCATCCCCTCCTGCCTGGTCCTTTTAACTGGAGATGTCAGGGATTGAACCTGGGACCTTCTGCATGCCAAGCAGGGGCTCTGCTACTGAGCCAGCATCTCAGCTCAAGGTCTTCCCCATCACCCCCTGCCTGGTCCTTTTAACTGGAGATGATGGGGATTGAACCTGGGACCTCCTGCATGCCAAGCAGAGGCTCTGCCACTGAGCCGGGGTCTCAGGTTAAGGTCTCTCTCATCACCTCCTGCCTGGTCCTTCTAACTGGAGATGTCAGGGATTGAACCTGGGACCTTCTGCATGCCAAGCAGAGGCTCTGCCACTGAGCCAGGGTCTCAGGTCAAGGTCTTCCCCATCACCTCCTGCCTGGTCCTTTTACCTGGAGATGCCGGGGATTGAACCTGGGACCTCCTTCATGCCAAGCAGAGGCTCTGCCACTGAGCCACAGGCCCTTCATGCATTTGAAATGTGTTCCCAGAACTGCTTCTTTCTGCCTCACCACGTGCTCACCTCATATTCCAGCTCCTCTGCCCGCTCGGTCTCCGGAGCACCTCCTTCCATGAATTCCACAGGATCATAATACTCATGGCCGATCGAGGGGCTACGGAACAGAAGAAGACAAAAGCCATGAGGAGAACCAGCTCTTTGCCACCGGAGAACTCTCTTAGGAGACTCCCAAGAGGCTGAGTCGCCACCTACTAAGTCCACAAACGCATGCTGGAGGTGGAGATCTGGAATTTAAGCATGTGGACTGACTGTGGTAAATGGGGTTGCCAGGTTTGGGACTTAACAGGGGCTGGACAGAGTCCCAGGTGACATCACCAGCAATGTCGCTACGTCACTTCCAGTGCGCGCCGTGACACTGTGGTCCCAGTATTGGGGCAAAAACTCTGTTAAAAACAGCTTCTACCATAGAGTTTTTTACCCAAATACCAGAGCGTCGCTGATGTGATGACATCCCTTCCGGTACATGACAGGGATCTGGGGTGGACATGGTACAGTCCTGTACACAGCGCCCTGCCCTGGCTCAACCTAGGAACTGCAGAAGGTACCAGGGTGGCAATGTTTCCCTGTGCCTTTGATGAAAGCAACAGTGGTTGCCTTGACTTGGACGGACCCGGCTAGTCCCATCTTATCCGGTCTCAGAAGCTGAGCAGTTTCAGCCCTGGTCAGTGCTTGGATGGGAGACCACCGAGGAGGTCCAGGGTTGCTATGCAGAGGCAGGCATTGGCAAAAGCCACCTCTGAACGTTTCTTTCCCTGGCCTGGATGGCCCAGGCTACCCCGATCTTATCAAATCTTGGAAGCTAAGCAGGGTCAGCCCTTGGATGGGAGACCACCGATGGGAGACCACCAAGGAAGTCCAGGGTTGCTACGCAGAGGCAGGCGATGGCAAACCCGCCTCTGAATGTCCCTTGCCCTGACCTGGATGGCCCCGGCTAGCTCGATCTTGTCAGCTCTTTGGAAGCTAAGCAGGGATGCCCCTGGTGACTATTTGGACGGGAGACCGCTAAGGAAACCCGGGGTCACTACGCAGAGGCAGGCGACAGCAAACCAACGATGCCCGTCTCTTGCCTCGAAAACCTTACGGGGTCGCCGTCCGTCGGCTGCAGCCCACCGCCACGTCCCGCCACCACCGGCTGAAGTCCACGAGAACAGAAATGGGCCATTCGTTCCTGATTCAAGTCCATGAAGCGCGAAGGCAAAGGAAGATCCGGGGAATACTCACAGATCTGGCAGCCCGTAGGGTTCCAGCGTCACGGCTGGGGGGCTCGGTGGCCGCATCCGCCCCAGCCCCAGGAGGTGCTCGAAGGTGATATCCGTCTGGGTCCCGCTGTCCACCAGGGTTGCCGGGTCCCCCTGGGGGGCAGGTCCCTCGCCGCCCCCACTGCGGCTGCGGGGACTGCGCCGGAGCACCTGTATGACCAACGGCTCCTTGGAGCACCGCAGAGCTTCCAGGGTCTGTTCTTGGGAGAGACGGGAGAGCTCCCGCCCATTTACCTGCGGCGGAGGGAAGAGATCAGCCACGTCAATACAGCCGCTAAATGGAGAAAGGAAGAGGGGACGGGAACACGCGGTGCCTTGTGAGCGCCAAATTCTTATGCTCCTTTCCCCCAGTCTGCTGAGGGTCAAACGACACGGTTTTGTTTTATTCTACTTTATCCATTCCCTGCCTTTCTCCCCTGTGGAGACCCAAAGCGACTCACATAAGTCTCCTGTCCTCCATTTTATCCTCACAACAACCCTGTGAGGTAGGTTAGGCGGAGAGAGTGGTCCAACGTCACTTTGTGAGCTTCCACAACAAAGCGGGGATTCGGAGTCTCCCAGATTCCTAGTCGGGCACTCTAACCACGACACCACGCTGGCTGTTCACAACTCCTACCCTGTACTTTAACCTGGGGCAGGAGATTTGGATCAGGGAAGCAGGACTGAGGCAGACAGATTTCACCCTTTTCTCCCTGCCACTGCCCTGATCAAAATTGCCCTTCCCATGTAAGAAGGAGGAGGAGGGGGAGAAGGAGGAGGGGGAGAAGGAGAAGGAAAAGGAGGAGGAGGAAAAGAAAGAACAAGTGGGAACAAAGAAATCAGGTCTCCATGGGTCTTGCTGCAAACCAACTAGGATGAAGGGGTTCTGCAAAAACAATTCTAATTATTTTGATTATTAAAACATCAAGAGAAACACCTAATGACCTTTATGGTATCTTATGTATCCTACAAAACAATTTCAGGTTTCGTACCGCATACCCAACTCTGACCAGGCTGGCCTGAGCTTTTCAGATCTCGGAAGCTAAGCAGGGTTGGCCCTCGTTAGTACTTGGATAGGAGACCAGCAAAGAGGGCCAGGGTTGCTACGCAGAGGCGGGCAATAGCAAACCACCTCTGAATGTCTCTTCCCTTGACCTGGATGGCCCAGGCTCGCCAGATCTTGGAAGCTAAGCAGGGTCGGTCCTGGCTAGTATTTGGATGGGAGACCCAGCTGAGCTCTGAGCAGGAGCAGGAGACAGAGGGGTGAGTGTTTTTTTACTTGCTTTCAGCTGAGGGAATTCAGCTGAGGATATTGTGTGGGAGAACTGGTCTGGGAGTGAGTGAAAGCGCTTAGAGAAGTTGCAGTGTCCTGGCTGCTTGAGAGAGGGAGAGGAAGGGGCATTGTTTGACTGTGATTGACTGCAATTGAGTATTTGGCAGAGGCACGAGCCGAAGGGCAAGCTAAAGGGCTCTTTGCCTGTGGCTCTTAGCCTAGGGACTCTTGGACTAGGGGCTCTGTGAGAAGCCCAAGAAGAGCCAGAAAGCCAAGGCCCTAGGCTCTTTGTCTTCCCCGTAAAGTAATTTGACTTCGACAAGAAAAACCACATAAATACAAAGGGTTTTAAAAGGGGGATTATATTTACTTATTTTGAAAGAATTATGAAGCCAGAATGCCAGCAGGGGGTTGGGGGCTATCCAGTGTTTTGCACAGAGTGTCACATTTATTTATTTATATTTAAATTTATACCCCGGCCTATCCCGAAGGCTCTGGGCCCACTGGACAGAAGTCTTGGGTGTGTGCTCGGTGCAAGGAGCTCCTGGTTCTCAGGGAACGTGTGTGCTCCCTTGAGGCCAAGGTGGCTGACCTGGAGAAGCAGAGACAGTCAGCTAGGCGCACAGAAAAGACTCTCGGGGACTTGTTAGCTACGTCCCACTCTGGATCTGGCAGCCCCGCTGCTGTCAGGGAGCATGAGGGTCTAGGGGAAACAGGGCACCGTGCTGAGGATAAGGGGAATGTGCCCTCAGAAGGGACCTCTTCCCCAGCTGGTGAGCGGCTCTCCTTTTGCACCAAGGAACCATCCCTGAGCAGGGTGGGAGGGGGGCTCTTGGTAGTGGGTGATTCGATCCTTAGGCAGGTAGACAGCTGGGTGGCGAACCCGCGTACTGACCGTATGGTGACTTGCCTGCCTGGTGCAAAGGTAGCGGACATTACGCGTGTTTTAGATAGGCTGGTAGATAGTGCTGGGGAGAAGCCAGTGGTCGTGGTGCATGTCGGCACCAACGATGTGGGGAAATGCAGTCGTGAGGTCCTGGAGGAGAAATTTAGGATGCTGGGCAGGAAACTTAGGTCCAGGACCTCCAAGGTAGCCTTCTCAGAAGTGTTACCTGTTCCACGCGCAGGGCCGGAGAGACAGGCAGAGATCAGGAGTCTCAATGCGTGGATGAGACGATGGTGTAGAGGGGAAGGGTTCAGGTTTGTTAGGCACTGGGATACTTTTTGGAACAAGAGGGAGCTGTACAGGCGAGACGGCAGTGGAGCCTGAGTGGTGGGTGTTGCCTTCTGACACACTTCCAGTGATGTCAGGGGGCGTGGCATATGCAAATGAGTCATGCTAATGAGTCATGCTAATGAGCTCCTGCACCTCTTTTTCTACGAAATGACCCCTGTTTCTCAGATATGCTTTCGGCTGGTCCCGCATTGGGCAGGGGGCTGGACTAGATGTTCTATGTGGCTCCTTCCAACTCTATGATTCTAGGACTGCAAACTGGAACAGTGCATTAGAGTTTCTAGAAAGAGGCTAAAATGTTCTTGCAGTGTTTTTTGGGGTGGGGGTGGGGAGAGGCATCTCTCGCTCAGTCCTGTGATGCACCATTAGAAATTTCCCAGTCTGGAAACACAGTGACGAAGCGGCAGGAAACTCAGCGCCAAACAGACCGGGATGACATCTGTCACCGGCGCTGAATGCCGTTTATCAGACTGACGCATGAATCACCTGCGATTTGTCATTCATGTGAAATGGTCCTGTCGGGTTTAAATTAAATTAAATTAAGGGCGGGAAGGGACTGGCTGGATAGGAGGGAAAACTTTTTGACAGTTAAGACTCGATCTAATGGGTGGAAATTACAAGGGAGTCGTTACCGGCTAAATATCAGGAGAAACTTCCTAACTGTAAGGGTGGTTGAGGAGTGGAACGGACTTCCTCAGGAGGTGGTGGAGGCTCCTTCGCTGGATGTTTTCAAGCGGAGGCTGGACGGCCATCTTCCGGGTATGTTGCAGGGCTGTCTTTCGGCTATGCTCCTGCAGAGTGCAGGGGGTTGGACTAGATGGCCTGCAACGCAATGTTCCCTCTAAGCTGTGGAGTCTTGTGAGCAAAGACTCTACTTTGTGAGCTGCTGCCATTAAAGTTGTGAGTGAGAGATTTGGCTCCTGCATAAAACTAGTTTGTTCTGGAGCCATCCTCCCCGAGCGAAGACGAAAATGTGTGAGCTGGAGGCTAAAAAACTGTGAGCTAGCTCACACTAACTCAGCTTAGAGGGAACACTGCCTTCAAGGTCCCTTCCAACTCGAACATTCTATGATTCTAAGATTTGTGCAACAGTGGGATCGGCTGCCTGGGGAGGTGGTGGATGCTCCCCCTCCCAGGCCGTCTCTAAGCAGCGGCTGGACAAACACTGGTCAGGGATGCTCTAGGCCGGTCCTACATCGACCAGGGGGTTGGGCTAGATGGCCTCTGTGGGTCCTTACAACTCTGTGATTCTGTGTCGCTGCCCTTCATTGGGAGTTTGGTTTCTTCTGGGATGTCACAATACGGGCCCACAGCAGGGTTTCTGAGAGGGAAGGTGGCACGATATAAAGCCTGATTTCATCAGATCTTGGAAGCTAAGCAAAGTCGGTACCTGGAAGGCAGACCACCAAGGAAGACTCTGCAGAGGGAGGCAACTGGCAGACCACCTCTGCTGCTCACTTGCCTTGAAAGCCCCTTGCTGGGGTTGCCATACGTTAGAAACTACGCAGGGTCCTGGTCCTTATGTATGAGGGACCACCAAGGAAGGCTCTGCAGAGGAAGGCAAAGGCAAACCACCTCTGCTTATTCATTTGCCTTGAAAGCCCCTTGCTGGGGTCACCATAAGTTGGAAAATAATCAGGGTCCTTATTTGGATGGGGGACCACCAAGGAAGCCTCTGCAGAGGAAGGCAAAGGCAAACCACCTCTGTTTTTCGCTTCCCTTGAAGGACTCTTGCTGGGGTCGCCAGAAGTTGGAAACTAAGCAGGGTCCTTATGTATGAGGGACCACCAAGGAAGGCTCTGCAGAGGAAGGCAAGGGGAAACCACCTCTGTTTTTCAGTTCCCTTGAAAGACTCTTGCTGGGGTCGCCATAAGTTGGAAACTAAGCAACCTTATTTGGAAGCGGGGTGCAGCGGAGCCTAACGGACAGAGCCGAGGCCGAAGCGGATATGGGCCGTGTGCCTGAACGGTCCCGCCAACGAAAGTCGTCCTGAAACGCCAGAGACTGCCTGAAAAGAAGCCAAGCCAGAAGCAACAACAGGCCCACCACCTGGGTGCCGGTAGGCAGCCCCGCCCCCATCTCATGTGGCCCTAGTTAGGGATTAAGCGTTCTTAGAATCCATTACATGTAAACCGCCCAGAGACCCTTCGGGGTTAGGGCGGTATAGCAAGTAAAAAGTATAAATAAATTATTTGGATGGGGGACCACCAAGGAAGGCTCTGCAGAGGAAGGCCATGGCGAACCACCTCTTCTTATTCATTTTCCTTGAAAACCTGAGGGGGTAGCCATACGTCAGCTGTGGCTCGGGAGTGCTTTACACAAAGACAGTCGGGCTTCGGCTAATTATTCTAGACAGAAATTTCCATGCAAGCTGTGAACGTAAAAGAACAAATGGACACAGATCTGACATTAAAATCGAAAAAGTCGTGCGGTAAACCTCTGCAAAGGGAAGCCATTCCCACCCACTTCACGTTCCCCCTCCCAGGAACGCTGTTCTTGGGGGCACAGGAGACCCCCCCTAGCAACAGTGGGAGGGGGGGAAAGCTGGAGGTCTGCAGAAGGCGGGGGGATTGGTAAAAAAGCCCCCCCTTCCTTTTGTGGAAATGTATCAAGGGATCGAAGGGGATGCTTAGAAACCAGTGGGAGAACATTTCAGTCTCCCCAGACGTGCAGCCTCTGATCTCTAACTCGCCATCCTTCAAACAAAGAACTTCAAAGGAGAACTCCAGCACGAAACCGATGGTTTATTGAGATTCGACATTCTCTCTCCACCTCGCTGGGAGAAAAA